GATTCAGCACAAACATGGGAGAGTGGGAGAGGAATTGGACTGATAACAGGATTGATAGGAGAATGAGTAAACAAATAATCTAGACAAAAAATTAGAAGGCAAGTGAAAGAACACAGATTGCAGAAAGTAATTACTAAATTTACTACTGAAACATTATCCTAAATATCTAAATTCCTTAGTGCTTATTTCTAAAATTATCAGGTAATTGGCTTAATGATAAAATCAAGTGAAATTTACTTAATCTAATATGTTTTTGGACAGGAGAGCATATGATAAATGAATTGTATATTTCCAACCTAAAACTAATATTCTTAAAACTATATTGTACCGCTGAACTTATACAACTATTTACAACTAAATTTATTATAGTACGGTGAATTAGTACGGCAAAGAAGAGGTATAGACATACCATCAGGCAAACGAAACACATAGTACGGGACTAAACGTAAGTTTATGCATGAAAATATGTTTAAAACAAAAAAACAGCATAACACACAGAAGCAAATAATTTAGTTCTTGGTTTAACTGCTAGATAACTGTTAAAATGAAGCATATTCTTTTTAGGATAATAATAATCTTCCGGACAGTAAATCAACCCCAGTACCGGTCGTTTTATTCCCGGGATTATTATTGCGGAATTTCCCGAAAAGTTGGCAATTTTCCAACAGACTTTTAATATCGGGTTTGAAAAACGAAGGTCTAAGCCTAAGGCAATACTCTGAGATTTCAATTTTTTTGAAAGTAAATTTTGTGTCTAATCCTGTTTATAACCAATTCTAGGGCATATAACAGTTTCACCCTTGCGAACTTTGAAAATTACCCATGATGTGGTCATAACTTCATAAATTAAGGGCAGATTTTGGGATTCAGAGAATTTTTAAGATGAGAGTTTAACTAACTTTCAAGGTCGGAGGTGCGGATTTGCTTCAACGATCATGTTTTAAAATGGTGTCTCTTTTAAAGAAACAACACAAACATTTCGAATGGAATAGATTTTGAAATGAAGTATTCTTCGACTATAAAAAAATAGTTTTTTGAATAAGTTAAAATTTTAGAAATTTGTTCGATGTTGCGAAATTTTTTAAGTTTTTCCTAATCTCAGATAATAAGTTTTCTTTTCTATTAGGTATGTGTACCTGAATTTGGATTTTATTTTTCTAGCCCAAAATCCTGAAAATGTCTGAGTCTTAGATTTGAAATGATTTTTTTATGACTAGAGGTTTCCAAAATTCCGAGCTATCATCAATATTGGGAAAATATAAAAAAAAATCAAATCTCACCAACGAACAGGATCACGCTTGATTTTCGTAGACAAAAATCAACAAGCAAACTACTGCGGTTGATATTGAAAGCTGTGATATCGCAGCTCGTAATATTAAGAATCAAACTCACCATCTGCGATTCCATGATTTTTGTTTTAAGCTGGGTTTAGACGGGGCAAGTCAATTGATCAAGTCAGTTGAATTCAACTGACTTGAACGCGAATTGAACGTTTAAACCATGCCATTCAACTGACTTGATCAACTCACTTGAATTGAAAAAAGTTGAAACAGACTCAACTTTTCAAGCCAATTGAATTCAACTGAGTTGATCATTTGACTTGAATAGTCTAAACCCAGCTTTACACCCGACCGGAACTGAAACTTCCAGCAGTCGGCATTGTGTCTGCCATCAGTCGCATCTTGTCTGCCATCGGTAAAGAGGAAAACGAGATAGCAACCGTCTCTTTCTAAAGCTGGGTTTAGACTAGGCAAGTCAAATGATCAACTCAGTTGAATTCAATTGGCTTGAAATGTTGAGCCTGGTTCAACATTTTTTTCAATTCAAGTGAGTTGATCAAGTCAGTTGAATGGCAGTCAGTTGAATTCAACTGACTTGATCAATTGACTTGCCCTGTCTAAACCCAGCTTAAGAAAATGAGGTTCTTTGGAATCATTGTGGCGTTGATTCAACTCTCAGCTTCAATTTTGCACGTTTTGAATAGTCTATATCAAAGGAGCTTGTAAAATCAGTATCAAGCACGATATTTTGCTCCAATATCACACGTGATATTGAGAGTGTATGAGATTGGAAACATAAATTTTCTCTAATGATTATGCCTTCGCTGACTACCATTAAATTAAAAACAAAGATTAAAGAAAATCTGGGACTTTTGAGTACTGAGAGTTTTGAAACTTTAATGAATACCTATTTAAGATTATGTGACATGGAAAATATTTCACTATCATAGAACAGTTCCACACCAAATGATGAATCGAAAAATACGACCTTCTCCAATATGTATTAAACTAAGCATAATTGCTTGTTATGGGCAATTATTCAAAATTTTGCTAAAATTCGGCTTTTTTAGATCATGTAAAATTTCCGCTTATAGTTGTTTTTGAAATTAAAAAAAAAAATAACTTCTGATCGATACTATAATCTGAGACAAAATTGTAAAGACAGTAAATTAAATTTTAATTTGAGACCTATATATCTCAAAATGTCCTTGTCCAATGTGTGAATTACAAAAAAATGCAAATTTTTGGAATGTTCAAAAAAAAAAGGACTCTTAATAGTTGACAAAAATTGTAGAACAAGAACTTTTGATCAAACTTTGGAACTTTTTTTTGACGCATTTTTTCATGTTATTCATGCTCAGAAAACAATTTTTGAGACATTTTAAAACATTTTCTGTATAGAACACATACAAAATCACACCAACAAAAAATCCTAAATATGACATTTTGAGATATTTGGGTTTTTTTTTAATTTTTACTTAAAATTGTTTTAAAATATTATTCCCTGCCATTTTGTCTCAGACGTCATTTTGATCAGAATTGCCGTTTCCGTGCTATATTTTTTTTGATAAATTTCTAGGCCAATATAGGCTCAAAATGACTTCACCTACCCCCTAACAGAATAGACGAAGAATCCCCCATTTACTAGTCTTATTTTTTTTCTTGATTATAAGTTTTGAACTTCAAAGAGGTTTTAAGATGTCATTTTGAAAATTTTACATGATACAAAATGGCCGAATTTTAGCAAAAAATAAATTTTGTTCGCTATTTTGCCATGGAATTAGATCATATATATATAATTGATTCTGAAAAACAAAGGTACAATCAGGCATGGAAAATCATTTGCATTCATTTTGTGCATTAATTTACATTCATTTGCCTCTAACTTTTTTCTTCAACAGCATTCCGCAAAATGATGTATAGAGCTTTTGTACGTTTTGTTATTAACTATTAACTAACTAGTTTTGCTCATAACTCAAATCTGTATCTCTTATGCATCACGAACTAGAGTGGGCAGAACTTGTTACTGATTTTCAGTGAATGTAAAATACATTCACTGAAAAACAGTGGTGGCTTCTGTTCGCTCTGCTTCGACATGCATAAGAAATACGGATTTGTTTTCTTTACAAAAGTTGTAGCTAATAACTAAACCTACAAAAGCTCTATACACCGTTTTGCGGAATGCTGTTGACAAAAGAAAGTTAGAGGAAAATGAAAGTAAATGATTTTCCATGCCTGGGTACAATATTGAGAAAATAGTAAATACACTGGGAATTTTAATTTTCTTGAAGATTTATAACCAAGTTTTGAAGTCTTGGCCTAGAACACATTCCAAGGACAATACAAATCCAAATCATAGAGGAGAAATGCCGGCTTCGTTTATATTTTAACCTGTTATCGTCAGGTGGAGTAAACAAAGTTCTTGAGCGCTCAAAATTGGCCAATCGATGCACAAAATGATGATGCATTCTCATACAAACCATGAGTGCTCAATAAATTCACATACCCCCTAAGAATATAGGTAAAGATATGTCTCAATCCGCCATTTACTCGTCTTAATTAAGTTTTGAATTTTAAAGAGGTTGTGAGATTCCAGACTTTCGGATCCCGATTTTGTTTTTTTTTTCAAAATAATCAGTTGGCAGTTAATTTTTAAAATCACTTTCATAGATCCTAAAATTAAGTTAAATAGGAAGACGCTGGTTGGGATTTTTTTTTATCTATCATAATCATTCGAGAAGCTTTCTTCTTCTGTTATCCCACAAATTATATTATTTTTCAAAGTTCCAAAATCACTATTTCAATCACAGGTTGCACAAACTGAACATTTAACACTAGACTACGGACCAGTAGACCAGTAGGGAAATTTTCGGGTTGCGAAAAGCTCCACCGGCTGCAGCGGGAATCGTAACCTCACTTCGTGGCACTCACAATACGCCTGATCGACGAGTGACGCCGCTCATCGCATGACAACGAAGTCCACCAAAGATCACAACGCAAGATATTTTTTTTAGCTGGAGATGCTTAACGCTAAATATCAAACTTAAAGTGGTCCTTTTATAGAGTTGATAGTTCCGTTAGAGTACGGCAGTGTGAAAATTGTACATAGAGTGTAAAAAGCGAGCAAAGGACAATTTTGAGGAAGGTACGCATTGGGTTGATCATCTCCTTTATCAAACTCCCCCGTTTGGGAGGGATGGTGAGGGTTATCTCCCTCGCCTTCGATGTGCGGAAACAATTCTATCGATTGTTTCGCACTCAAGTCGTCATCTGACGTAAGCATCTAGTCGATATGCTTTTTAACTACTGAATAAGCCTGATTTTGACTGGAAAAAGATATATTCATACAACCTGCAGTGCAGATTTGAAAGTTTCTTAACTTTTCACCGAAAATTTTCCCAAAAACCTGGCGCTACCAAAATGAAATACCACCTTAATAGCTCGAAAGTGAAACCAATATCAATCCGACAGTCACTCGAAGTCGCATTTGCTTGTGTAAATAAAATCGAGGAAGGAAAAAAAAACAACATCCAAAAAAAAAATAACACTCCCCGTCGCAATCAGTGCTTCATGTTCGCTTAATAAGTCTCATAAAAACAGTCTCCACCGCCTGGTTTGGTGTTTTGCATCGCTTCTTGTGCTCAGTTGTGTTTTTTTTATTTTCACAATTTTCACCTAACAATGTCTTATTTTACTATTTCTTGTTCGTTTTTCTTTCAGACCTATCAACAAGACAACGCAAGCTCTGGTGCACCAAACTAAAAGTGTATCCAAGCTGTAGACGACGCAGTGCCCGGGTGAAATTTGATTACTGCCAACAACCATACACCACTCATCAACTGCTTCTCTGTTGCGCAAAAAAAAAAACAGCAGAAAAAATACACATACTGGTGAAAATAAATTAATGAATGGTTGGTTTCTTTCACCCTCCGGTTGTTGTTGGGGGATTTTACAACTGTTTTTCCAACTGCGCGAGTTTTATGTTTTTTTTTTTTGCAACAACGAAGATGTGATTGTTTGCCATATCCATCTATCTCCTATGTGAGGATCTTGACCAAGCGAAATAGCAATGCATGTTGTGGAAAAGTTGCAAACAACAACAAAAAGAAGAGTACCAGATTGGTTGTGATAACACGTGTTTGGAATCCTTGAAGCCACCCATTCAGTGTGAAGAGCAGTGAAACTTTGTCAAAGAGTCCGTGTGTAGTTGAAACCGAGCGAGCGAGAAAAAAATAAGTGAGTGCACGAATGATCGATCGATCGATCGACAAAAAACCCCCCAACACACGATAACAAGAGGGCATCTCGAATTGTTGTTCAATAAAAAAAAATTGCTTTTGCCGAGCGAGTGAAATCGAAAAGGAAAAATTGTTCCGACGTATCGAAGCGAAAAAATGGAATTTAATTAAAATCCGATCTGCACACCGTTTGCTATAGCCTATTAGTAATAGTTTGTTTGATTGTTCGTTCATACAAGTAACAAGGTGTTTTGTGAAGCAGGGAGTTGCGTGAGTTGCCCTTGTATTGCTGGTTCGAATCAAATCGAATTAGAAGGGTTAATAAAATAAAAGTCGACAGTGCGATATAAAAAAAAAAGTGGTGATTTACGATTGTAGGCAAACGGTGCAGTGATTTGGGTGCCCGAACAAGCGATGAACCCATGCCCATGCGATCGTTTTACGTACAAATGTACATCAGTGCGTACCTGAAGTCTGCGTGGGAATGCAACGACTGTGGAATGTAAAAGCCCGGTTGCAGAGCATCGATTTGGATTTCGTGTGAATCGTGGTGCTGTTTGCGTTTTTTTGCACACAATAAGTGACCAGTTTTGGAGCGACCAGAGACGGAGGACCTGCGGAGGAGGAATGGCAATGTAATTACTGCTACTTGTTTGTTTTTCATAATTTTTTTTTCGCTAATGAATTGATAGTTATGTTGCCAAAAGCAACTTTGAAAATATGATTCGTGTAGGTGTGAAACAACTAGAATTGATTGGATTGATTAAGGGTGCCTTAATGGGAATTTGATAATGACTTGAAAGTGGATTTAATTAATGGTGTTTTAGATAGAAGAAAAAAATAAAAATGGCTTGAGTGGTTGGAGGGTTCAATCACACTGAGATATTTTTGGATGCATTAGAAGTTACGTGAAGCTATTGCTTTAATAAAGCCATTTGGATAATTTTGCCACTTTCAGAAAAATTCCACAAATGCTTTGTAGATTTACATGTATACCATATCGATATACTTCCCGGTCTAAATCTAATGCAGCACTATCTTTTGACAACAGTGGTGTTGAGTACTTGGTACTGAGGAAATCTGCAAGTTGTAGACGAAATACGCGTATCTGTCAAAAGATAAGCAATTTTCAACAGAATTTAAAGGAAATAAACCAACACACTCAGAGCTCTTCATTAACTTTTGAATAAATGTATTTTAAATTTTATACAGTTGCATTAATTTTACATTAACTTTGAGCCAAGTTCAATTCCAATTTATTTTACATTAACTTGACATTTTTGGCTATTATATATTGAATGATAAATCAATCATACTTCAAATAACTATGAGTTAAAAAATACAAAATTAAAAATTGTGTACCAAATGTTACATGAATCAATCGTAGTGTGTGCTCTCAGCTTTCTGTTCTTTTTCAGTTGCATGTTAAGGGTTTTCTAATGATATTTAGCGTTCATAATCATAAAGTCGATCGATGTTAAGTGAACCAATTTTCAGATATTTTACAAAATCAAACCAAAGTTGCATTGGCTAGCAAAAGCAAAGCACACAGTTTGGCCCTTATGATTCTGAATGGTAGATATAATCATTTTGGCATTTACTTTTATCCACAAAAAATCGTTACTAGAAACGGGGATTATTCATATAATCGAGCTGTTTTTGGAATGACCTTCTATACAAGCATAAAATTGCTAATATTTTATTGAGAGCATAAACAAGTCTCTATTTTCTCAAAGTTCTACAAGCAAAAATATTTTACTATTGTTGCATCACAAAGTTCGAGTGTCTGGAAACGTCATTTTAAACTGCTCGAATGATATACTCCATTGAATATCCGCCACTTGCATGGTCAACAAATAAAAGTGCATTACTTTTATACACGGCCAATGAGAGTAACTCAAAATTAAGTCGAATCAGACTCCAAATTGCGAAAAGTGGTCTTGCTCAGTGAGCGAGTAAAATTTTCCTCGACAATTCTCAAACATTGGCTCGAATATTAGCAAAGTCGATGAAAATTTGGTACAGTTCATGAGTATATTTACTCGTAAAAATTTGATAGGTATAGAGAGTGCACAGTAATTTTATTTGTTTTACTTTACCCTCTGAATATTGTTGTTACCTCAATTTGCACAAACTCGTAAGTGGGTTGATTCCTAGCTTATTGTACAAGTGATGTTGACGTCCGTCTTATACAGCATAGACAGAAATTTAAGATTAATCATTCTCTTACACAGAAGTGATACAATCTCTGATAATCGAGATTTTCTCTTGCCGTGGCGATAGGAAGGAAGGTTGGTTGAACATTTAATAAAGAGGGATGCAGAGAATTCTACGCTAAAAAAATATAGCATATGGTTCATCGCAGCTGAGATTTACTGTATACAGAAGCAGGGCGTCACAATATCAGCTTCAATCGACCAAATCGATGCGACGAAGAGACTGCTGGCTTTCTTTTTCTATTAAAGTCGAACAGCTTCGCAGCATTCTAGAACCTCAGTCGGCGTGCACAAACAAATGTTCAATCGCTTGTCTCTCTTTCTCCCGTCGCTCCATTGGTCTTCCTTTCAAGCTTCGATGAAACGGTTGAGCGAAAGAGCGCTCGACTTTGATAGTTTTCTCTTTCATGAAACACATCAACAGAGGTTTCATGACGTATATGAAGGAAAATGAAAATACATATTTAAAGCATTTCTCACGTGAAAACACTTGAAGATTACACGTAATATGTTTAATTTATCTTTCATTTGCATTTTAAACAAATTGAAAGAGCGGTGATAGAGTGTTCGTGAAAGGGGATTGAAAGCCATAATGAGGTTTCGTTTAACTAGAATATCGACGTTACTTACTGATAGTCTAGCTAGGCGTTATAGAAATGAAGCGTTGAACTCGTTTGTATGAGAGAAACAAAACTCGAGTTCATTTTAGAGCTTCGAAAATGTAGAGCCCTGCACAGAAGTTATTTTTTTTTTAATTTTTCGGGTATCCCAAAACAACAGTTTGTGCTGATTAAGAGCTGAATAAGTTAATTATTGCCTGAATAAGCTCCTTGGATGCTTTTAATATTTTATATATCACTTTGACATTATGCGAAAACGCTTTTAATCTTACCCTGAAGTGCTTGGTTCTCGATAGGCTACAACCCTGGTTTTTGCTTAGATTGAAATATATATTTTTCGAAAAGAAATTATTTCGTAACCAAATAAGTTCTTCGTGTTCCATCATTTCGAAGGGTTTTTAATATATAATCTGATTAGTTCACTCGGGCTGTTATGCTTTCTAAGATTTTGACCTGGAATTACCTCCTTATATTGGAAAACCTACTTAATGGATGTATTCCAAATGGAAATGATTTGAAAATAGTTATGAGTTATCTCTAGATGAGAGAATCTTTAAAACTCAGGGTTGTAGCCCAGAAAGAATCAAGCAAAATGGAGCAAAATCCATAAAGGTGAGTTCACAGAATGCTAAAATAAGCATTTGGGCACAGTTTGGTTGAAATCGATGCCATCGATCTGAGTTGGTGTGTACACTTGAGTGGAAATGACTTACATCCTCCGGATGTATTTCTTATGAAAACAGTACACTGAAAATGTATTTTCGTTATTTCTCTGAAAACCGTTTCGTAAAAATGAATATCGTACATACAACACATCTTTCATAAATGGTACGAAACATTCGTTTTCCCTGTCATCTGGCGCAATATCAATATTACGCCTTATTCGTATAATACACAAATTCATCTTCGTACAATCAAACCAACAACTGCGCTTATTGACTCCTTAAGTTCTGATTGTGTGTTGGAGATGGGATACTTTTTTTTAATATTGTCGGTTTGACCAATACATGCAAGCTACCATTATAAATCAAAATACTGGTCACGGTGGTTTTATGTCAGAGGAAAACTAAATACATGCAAGCAGCAGAAAAAGCAAACGAAAAGGAATTACCGCTCCATGAGTACTTGTTATTTGCCTTTAGCCTTTCCTTATATCGTAGCACAGATAGGGTGATGGATAAGTCACAGATGTGGCTTTCGCAAGGTTCATGATTCGAGTCCGGTCTGAAGGCTATTTTTATATTTTTGTCATGTTTATCCCTTACAATAATGAAGTTATTTTTACGCATCCTCACTAACACACTCCACATTTTTCGGTCTTCAAAACCAACACTTGTGGCCCGCCGGTTGGGTGTAGCGATAGCGAATGTGGCAGTACTAACGAAACTAGCTTCATACAATGTACAAATCCATTTCGTTGCAGAAAACAACGAATAAATTCGTAAAACAAACGAGCGATTTCGTTGTATAAACGAAATTTTATTTTCAGTGTAATGGTATAGTTCTTACAGTCTGTGGTGAACAAGTATCTTTCGAAAGCATCAAAGTCAAATTTGTAGGTTTAATGAATTGATGGAGATTTACCGGTGCCGGTGCTGTAGTGGTAAGCGTGACTGCTTTCTCACCCCAATGGGTCTGGGTTCAATCCCAGTCGAGGTCGGTGGGATTTTTCTGAGGTATAAAAATCTCTGGTCACGTCTTCCTTCGTAAGGGAAGTAAAGCCGTTGGTCCCGGCTCATGTGTGCTGATGAATAGATGCAATATCCTACGCAGGTGTGAAAGCTGCCTTTCTGCACATTCGATTGCTGTCAATGGATAGCAATCGATGTCCGTCGGTGATTGGTACTAGATTGCAGAACAGAGAACAGAAGGAAAGAAGATGAATTGATGGAGATGTCTTTATTGAATAAAAGTAGCAAAAATTAATTTTACACAATTATTTGAAAAGTATTCCAACGACCGCATTACAGAATCTGTTCATGTCGGTACTTTTTCATACAAAACTGTTAAAGAATTTTACATTCCTCTTGGCTGGGTATAGGGTACATTTCGCTAACTTGGGTCTAATAAGCAGCTATCGATTGTGATTTAAGTCATATCTCAACTAAGGCTTGTACTCGAAAAAAATGCACCATTTTTATCCGTGTGTAACTTTTTTATCCGTGGGTAAAAATTGATGAAAATCTGGGTATAACTAGTTTGGAGTGAATTTTTTACATCTGCAAAATTTCATAACAATCGGTTTAGTGGTTATTGAGATGTCATCGAAACAAGAAGAAAATCGCCGGAGAATTTTGCGCGCCGTCATGGAAAATCCGACTGCGACCATGAGATGGATCGGAAGACAACTGGGAATCACCCATACAACTGTGTCTCGCGTGGTAAAATCGTTTAAGGAGTCCCAGACGACCGAGCGGCGGGCTGGAAGTGGAAAAAAAAATCGAAGACAGCTGACCCTGTGAAGGCCCGGAAGGTGTTGGATTATTTCAAGCGTAATCCGAACCTTTCGATTCGCGACGCGGCTCTGAAGGCAAAGTGTTCCGTCTGGTTCGTTCAGCAAACCATGAAACGAGCTGGGCTTCGTGTATTCAAGATCCGGAAAGCACCGAACTGGCGTGATCAACAAAACACGGCGGTCAAATCCCGTGCAAGAAAGCTGTATCGAGAGTGGTTAACGAAACCGATGTGTGTGGTTATGTATGACGAAACCTACATCAAGGCAGACGCAAAGCAGATACCGGGGCTGGAGTTCTACGTTGCCAAATCACGGTTTGTTGTTCCGGAAGACATAAGGAAGAA